CTGCGCCCCCCTCCCCCCACGGTTAAAGGAAGCTTCTAAGCCCCCCTCACCCCCAATCTCCCTGGCCAAAGCCTTTCGCAGCTGGAGGGAAACAATGCAGGGTGGTGGAGGAGGAGGGGTACTTACGGGACCCAGGTCTCGCTCTGTCTCCATGGCAACACGGATCAGCAGCAGGGCAAGAAAGGAAGAGAGGAGAGGGTGCTGCTTTCATCTCCAGCCCCCCCCGGCACACGCTCTCCAGCACCCCCCCCAGCTCATCTCACCGGGAGGCAGCTGCTGCCCCCCACCTCTTTTGTTGCTTATTTGTCACAACCTTAAATCATATTTATATATACTTACTAATATTTATTTCATTGGATAATCCTTGGGGAAAAGACCTTTCTTGCCCCTAGCCCAAGCACTTCTAACAAATACTACTGATTCCATACACACACTGATGTACACAGTGTAACTAAGACTGTTCTCAGTAGTGACAGATGGCAGAACAAGGAGCAATGGTCTCAAGTTGTGGTGGGAGAGGGCCAGATTGGATATTAGGAAAAACTATTTTACTAGGAGGGTAGTGAAGCATTGGAATGGGTTACCTAGGGAAGTAGTGGAGTCTCCATCCCTAGAGGTGTTTAAGTCTCGGCTTGACAAAGCCCTGGCCGGGTTGATTTAGATGGGATTGGTCCTGCCTAGAGCGGAGGGCTGGACTTGACGACCTTCTGAGGTCTCTTCCAGTTCTGATTCTATGATAAGGGGATGGTTGGATGAAATAACATGATCTTGGTAACTAATTGACCATTCATTTCCAGTTGGAAATAGGTCAATGGAGGGATGATAGGAGTTGCTATAGGGAACTTTCTGGGTGTCTGGCTGGTGAGTCTTGCCCACATGCTCAGGGTTTAGCTGATCGCCATATTTGGGGTCAGGAAGGAATTTTCCTCCAGGGTAGATTGGCAGAGGCCCTGGAGGTTTTTCGCCTTCCTCTGTAGCATTGGGCACAGATCACAGCTGACGGACTCTCTGCATGTTGGGGCCTTCAAAGTATCTGAAGGCTTCAATATCTGAGACATAGGTGAGAGGATTATTCTAAGAGGGGTGGGCGAGATTCTGTGGCCTGCACTGTGCAGGGGGTCAGACTAGATGATCATAATGGTCCCTTCTGACCTTAAAGTCTATGAGTCTATGAGTCTATGAGCTGTGCGAGGGACCGGAGACTGAAGTTCTCCCCAAACTCAGTCCAGCACCTAGCACTACAGCCGCTTTAAGAAATACAGGAGACGGCACAGCCGCGGGGACGGGAGGACATGAGCCTGGCCTTCCCTGGAGACGGCTCCGAGGTAACGGCAGCCAAAATAACCCTCTTGCCTCTTCCACAGCTGCCTTGGCTTCCCCCAGCCTCCCGAGTTCACGAGCCAGGCTGGGAGAGGACCCTCTGCTTCACATAGCTACCACTTCCCCTTTCCTTGGTCGCAGGCAAGTTTTGTTTGGCTACTACTGGAAAGAGAGTGGCAAAAAACAAAAACAAAAAAACCCACCCACAAAAACCCCACACGCCTGTTCCCCAGTAGGGCCACTTATCAAGCGCAAAGCCATCCCCTCTGCACCTGAGCCCCCAACAAGGTAGGATTCAAAGTCACCGCAATTCCCTTCGCATTCTGCACGCTACCTTCTACGTCCCTCTGAGATCAGAGGAGTCCGTTTCACTTTTGTTCAGAGTCCGGTTTCATTTGCATTTCTGAGGATTGCACTGCCTAGGTGGGGAAACTAAACAGCAAATTTTCCCTGCTGTAAACAGAAAGCTTTTCAGAGAAGCACCTTGCTTGGCGTTAGGCTTTTATAAGAAGGTTTAGGGATATTTGATTTTAAAAAAACCAATACAGAGAATGAATCTGGAGTTACAATATGGCTTGATTGGATCCTTTCAACTAAAAACAGGCATAGCAAGATTAGATTTTGGTGGGTAAATGTCATTTTCACAGTACACTCACAAACTGTTTCTATCAATAATCAGCGAAACTTACAGATAGGCCAAGTAAGAAAATTCCGCCACGTAAACTCATTAGTGTTTAATTCAAAGATTTTTACTTTGTATATTTTGATACACAAGATATTGGTAGTTTGAAAAATAAAGGTTTATAACCATTAACGCACAATCCCTGCATCTCCCGCCAAGAAATAATTATTGGCTAGTCTGCCCATGATTTCCCACAAGGGTGAAAATGCAAATATATTTTCTTAAAAGAAAAAATGCTTAAAGATAATCAATATCAAAATTGTATCTACACATTGGATTCTGCCAGGCCTTACTAAAGAGGGCGGATGCTTGTGGCTAAGCAATCCCTCACACGCATCCCGACCTGCAGAATCCTCAGCACCCAAATCTATTGAGCAGCAGCAGCAAAATAGCTTCACAACCCGATTATCCAGCCCTGCCCTGATCCAGCTCCACCTCCTAAGCCGCACTCCTCTGCCTCACCAAGCTGTGCCAGTGCTAATGCTCTCAGAGCCTCACTTGGGAGACCGCTTCTCCCCAGCCCCTATTCTCCTGCTTCTGTCACATCCAGGTCTCTCGGATTCCAATTCTCGGCCGTGATCGGCTTTCCCATCCCAGCCTGCAAGCGCCAAGCTGCCAGCCCTCCTCACCGCCAGGATCCATAACGCTTCCCCGTCTGCTGGGGCGCCCACCGGCCTCCTCGCACGCCGCGTTTTCTTCCAGACGCTCTGCTCCGCGTCTCATGTCCCCAGTCCTTGGCATGCCGTGCCAAATCCAATTACCCTGCTCCATTAGCATTTGCATGTCCCTCCGTTTCGAGGCTCTCATAATCTGCTCATTAACTGCAGCTCCGGAGCAAGTTGTCACTGCTCCTTCGCTGGGGCCCTGTTTCCTCCCTTGGACTGGTTTTATTTCTGCCTCGCTCTTTCTTCCCCCCTGCTCTCGGCTCTGGGGCCGGATTAGCTTCCCTCACCCAGCCCCGAGGGGGCTGGCCACGCACCCCCAAGCAGGCCCTGGCTAGCTACGCCAGAGACAGACTGTCGCTGTCCTGAGGCGCATTCGTCACCCGTCAAAGGGGCTCAGCTCCATGCTCTTCCCCCCCACGGCCCGCGCCGGTCTCCGACACCTCCCTTGCCCAAAAAGGGGGCAGCCACACTGCTAGACAGTTCTAGGGTCTGTGGCGGGTGGGGCTCGATGGGCTTGGGTTAATGAGCTAGCCCGTCCTCCTCTCAGAGGGCTTCTCCGGGGGACCTTCGGAGGCACTTTCACTGGCCTCTGAGGAGATGAAGAGAAAGGACCCCCCCCTTCCGGTGAACAGCATCAACCACCCCTCACTCTGCCTCAGTGCGGAGGAAAACCTGCAGCAAAATCCCTTCTGCCCGGCACAGGATTCCCTGGAACTCAGACTCCACCCCACAGGGCCAATTTGAAAGGGCCAGGAATGAGGAGAAAGCAGCGTAGGGCTGCGGGGCGGGAGGAACAGAACCACAGCCCCACCGGTCACGGGTTACATGCCAGAGCTGCCCAGTCCTCCCTCCCCACCCTCCCTCTGAGCTCATTATGGGATAGACGCAGCCCAAGGTCCCAGACAGCCACCGCTCCGGCTAAAGTAGGAGAGAGCCCAGAGCGAGGCTGCCCCAGGGGCAGGAGGCGGCGTGAAGCCCAGGAGGGGCGGGACACTGTGGCCAGCAGCGGGGGGCGGTTCACATACCCCGATTGCTGTGTTCAGCTCTGCCATAGTCACCTGCTTGGCTCGCTCCACCGCCTGGACCACCTGCTGCTGGTGCTGGGAGGAGACCAGAACAGTCATCAGCTCTCGGGTCTGCGTTAGCAAGGCAGGAAGAGGAAATGGAAGGGCCTGCCTCCACTCCCACCTCCGTGCCCACGCAAGCCCTGTCTGGTACCCACCCAGCGCACCTGGAAGAGCACACGCCTCCTCCCTCCCCCCACGCAGAGGCAACAGGTTCTTCTCACCTCCTGGGACAGGAATGGGATGAGCTGGGCGCAGATCACATTGAGCCGCTTGGCAATCTCCGTCTGGAAGGGAAGAGACACACGTCAGTGGCACTATCAAGTTGCCCTGTTTTACTTCTGTTCCACCACGGACTTGGGAAGGGCTGGGCACACCTTGACAAGACCTCAAGAAACAGCCCCCCTTGCCTTCCAAGGGTTGCCCTTTGCCTTCGGCTTGGAGACTCAGACACCCTGTCCATGAGCAGAAGCACAGAGCCCCATGTCCTGACCCTACCACAATACTACCTTCCATCTCCACAATCCCACTACTGCCACCACAAGTAAGCCCTGCTGTTCATAGCAGGCTTCCATTGAAATCTTATCCTGTCACATGTAGATCCCCTCACTGACAATGTAGCACTGCTGGTGCTAAGCAGTTACCACGTCCCACCCTAGATTTGGCTGCATTTCAAACTGAATTATACACACATGGGTCCTCCCAGCACCGATGAGCTCATGCACTGGCCCGTCAGCTGAGGCTCCCAGAAGCTAGCTCTCTCGCCCTCCTCACTGGAGAGGGAGGGAGGTCTCACTTTTTTTTTTTAAACTGGTGGCAAAACAGAGAAGGCCCAGCAGGGCTGTGACTTGCTCCCAGTTGAACAGGGGCTGTAGCAGAGAGGTGCACAGAATGCCAGAGCCTCAGACCAGTGCACCAGGATGCATCATAGAATACTAGGACTGGCAGGGACCTCGAGGCCTTCCAAGGCCTCTTCTGCTGTCAACGTGCCCATGCGACGCCCGTCAGCCTTACGGGAGCCGGCTCACGCAGCAGAAGCCAGCGGCCCTGCTCAGGGGAGTGGGCAGAGAGCCTGGAGCTGGACAGGAGGGCACACTGGGCTCGCTCACAGAAGGGGCGTCTTGGAGGAAGCAGACGATGAGCTATGGGGCAAGGAGGGTGGTTTAGTTGTACAGCACCTGGCACCCGGCCCCCAGATGTTGCCACAAGTCAAATTATACAATTGTTTCCAGTCCGCTGGGAAGAGGGCTAATGCCCCCTATTGCTGTGCACGCCCCTCTCCCTCCGGCACCTGCCACAGCCCCAGACACTCCCCGGGAGTCACCGATCACACAAGTAAGCTGTCAATTCACTGCTGTATCTGCCAGCCCCCCCCCCCCCCCCCCCCCCGCCCCCCGCTCTCCGGCCTCCTTCCAGCCACGACCCAGCAGGCGTCCTGCCGCCTGGGGTGGGAAGGCAGTGGAACCCCCTCGGAAAAGGCTGCCATGGGACCCAGAGCGCCCCGCGCTTACTGCACGGGCACCATTCGGCTTCCCTAGAGAACCAGCACAGAGGGGAAAGCGGCAGAGTCCCCTGCACCCCAGGCCTCTGCCGACTCGGCCTGCTCCGCGTTCAACTCTGCCCCGGCTGCCGCAGCCCCTGTGCTGGGTGGGAAGCCCGCGAGCCGGAGCCCAGCATCAGGTGTGGGGGGGGAGGGGCAATTGCCCCAGAGTCTGGCCCTTCAAAAGGGCCTGGGGGTCCCAGCCTCTGCTACTGCAGCCAGAGCCCCAGGCAGGGCACTCTAGGGAGCAGAAAGGCCTGGCGAGGGGAGTGTGGGGTGCCGAGGGCTGCCCCAGCCCGGTCCATTCCGCCAGGGGCCCAGGAACTCGGCCCCCAGACCAGCATCCAAACCGGGTGCTAGCTTGTCAGCTACACCCCACCCTGGAGAACACGTCACCAGCCCTCGGTGCAAGCAGCTCCGCATGGCTGGCAGGCAGGCCTGCCCACGGGAGGGGCAATGGCCCAGAGATTCTCAAGGGCTGGGGGCGCTGCTACGACAGCTCCTGGGGCCCTTTAAAGTCGCCGCTGGAGTGTCACGCTCCAACAACTCTAGAGCTGGGGGGCAGGGGGCCGTGGTCTGGACAGTGCTGAGGGCTGGCGATCAGCTCCATCCTGCTCCCCCCACCCCACCCGTGTCCTGCCAAGACGTCCAGCCCCAGGTCTCCTCTCCCGCAGCCCCCCAAGCCCTGCGAGCGCTAATTGACTCTGGGGGGCTGGGTTGCCAGGAAGCCCTGGAGAGGTGCTCTCCTTACAGCTGCTGTTTTTCTGCAACACTCAAGTGCCACAAGCAATCAGGAGGCCTGAATGCAGGAAGAGAGCAGGGAGGGAGAGGAAAGAGGTGGAGAGGACAGCAGCATATTTCAATCAATGGCCCAAGCTGGGCAAGGCCAGACAGACTCTACAAAAAAACAGGTCCAGCTTCAGCAGCTGAAAGGAATTAAAGAGACAGGGACCCCTTCAAACACGGGGGAGCCAAGCCCCCCAGGAATCAGCTGGGGAATTCCAACTGCGGAACTCCAGAAACCGATCAGCTTCCCTCCCTAAGGCTGGGTCAATCAGTCCTCCGGAGCACAGACCCGGATGTGGGGCAGGGAGGGGTAACTTAGCCCCCCCAACTCCGGGCTCCATGCAGCTCTGCTCTCCCAGCGCTGGAGTAAAGGCAGGGCTGGCTGTAGCCCCCATTCTCCCTGCGCGCTGGTCAGCACCACAGTCCCAGAGGCAGGGTCTGTGCTGGGACCCCAGCGTAGCGCAGGGTGGGCAATACGTTAGGGTGGAGGGGACACTCCAAGATTTAGTAAGTGGCCAAGGGCCATGCTTTCCTATGGAGAGGGTGCAGGAGGGAGGCCAGAGTAGGGGATGGGGGGCGTGCAGGAGAGGGAGGGGTTGAGAGGGACTTTGAGGGGCAGAGGCTTGGGGTGCAGGGTCCGGGAGGGGATATGGGAGCCGGAGAGGATTCTGGGCTGGGGCAGGGTTTGGGAGGGAAGGTGCAGAGGGTTTGGGTGGTGACCTGGGGCAGGGAGGGAGCAGGTGCCAGAGACAGGCTCTGGCCAGGAGGCGCTTACCTAGGCAGTTCCCAGCCAGCAGCCCCCTGCCTGCCGCAGCCCCAGGCAGCTCAGAAAGGGCAGCTGCCCCCTGCTGCTGAGTGCTGGGAGGAGGGGGAGGCTTCGTGTGCTGTCCCCGCCCCCAGCAAAATCTCTCTACTCCCATTGACCAGTTTCTAGGAGCAGAGCACGAGAGGGAGCAGCCAGCTGCTTAAAAGCAGAGTGGGGCTACTCTGTGCTTGAGTCCCAGCGGGGCGGATCCAGGCCACCCCGGGAGTGGAGGGAGACAGGCTGTGCGGGCTACAGGCAGGCCAGCAGCCTCCGAGTTAGACTCCCACGTCAGGAGACTTTCAGGGCCCTGGCAGGGGAGTATGCCCGGGATGCTGACCTACCACCACATACCAGAGTTGTGCAGCACGGCAGCGATGCTCAGTACCCCCGTTATCACCAACGACCCTCGTTAGAGCCACGTGCCAAAGGAGCCGCTGGGAGCCGGGACCACCGATTCCATTCCCGGTTCTGCCACGCCCTGGGAAAATCCCTTCCCCTCTCTGGGCCCCATTGGAACTGCAAGCTCATCTGGAGAGGGACCATCTGCCCAGCACCCAGCCCCATGAAGCCCCGATCTCAGCTGGAGCCTCCACAGGATCTCTCTCAGCCCCATGAAAAACAAAGCCAAGAGCCATGTGCTCCCTGCATCCTTCCCCTCCCCCCAGCCCCAAGGAGGAAACAGCCTCTGCCCTTCCCCTGACACACACCAGCCCCCAGGAAAAAAAATTGGCAGCAGGTAGTTTCTGGGAAGGATTTAGCCATCTCCTGGGGCCAGCAGTGATGGATTCTCCTTCCTAATGCACTGATGGGCAGCCAGCTCCTCGGGGAGCCCTGCCTCCAATTCGCTCGCGCTCGTTAATGTGCAATTTACTGGCACTTTAACGCTCTCAGCATGAAAAATGATCATGCTGTTTTCAGGGCTTGTTCTCCCTTCCCCCTCCACTTCGCTCGCTATTTTGGGTGGAAAAGTCCAAATCCAGGCAGATTTTTTTGGGGGGGAGGGAGAAGGGGGGAAGATGTTGTTCCTGGTACAAAGAACATGCCAAAAATATCATCTCACTGGGAGTCGCCTGCAGCTTCTCCTGCCTTGACCACTGCAGGGTTTTAGTGCTACACAGAGCAGCCGTTAAAATCCAGCCCCTTCGGCAGCAGAGCAACGGATCCCTGTTGGATGCTTAGGGACCAGGGCTGCCTTCCCAGCTTGGGAACTGGCCAGAGAAGAAATCCATCCAACAGGGCTTGGCCCGCTCCCCCAGTGGCCTCTTCAAAGTGCTCACACAGGAAAGCAGGGCAGGCCAGGGGCACGCGACACGAGGGAGCAGCCAGCCAGCTTGGGGAGACGCTTTACCAGAGTCCTGCTTGGTACTGACCGGCAGCCAGTCAAAGGGGGCTGAACGGGCCAGGTGGAGAGCTGGTGGGATGCGGAGCCTTCGATCGTTCGAAGTCGCGAGCGAGAATACCAGCGTGCGATGGCAGAGATGGGTTCCCTTCGACTCGTTTCGAACGGAGGGCTCCAGCCACCGCAGCTGCCCCCGGGTTCCTGGCAGCAGCACCAGAGCTGGCTTGGTTCCCCAGCCCCTAAGACTCCACCTGGCTAGTAGCAGCCGGTTCGACTGCAGAGGAGCCTCCCGGCAGGCCCTGGCTCCTTCTCTGAGCTGCTCAAGAGACGGGCAGGAGACCTGTCTCCGCAAGGCGCGGCGGGTGCACGCCTCCTCGGCCAGACCATTCAGTCGCTCGTCCGCTTTATTAACGAGACTCCTTATTGAGCATTAAGTTAATGACACGCTCTTTATGCCAGCAGCGAGCGGCGTGCGATAAAGCAAAATCAAGTAGGGCTTGTGCGGGTTGGCAGAGGCAGCAGCGAGGGGGATGGAGCAGGCAGCGGGCTCGGGGCATTCGGTGGGAACCGGACAAGCTGCAGACCAAGGCTCCGCCTGCGCAAGCCACGCAAAGGAGCGGCGCTATCTCCCCGCGGCACCGATAACCTGCGGCCTCCCGCGCGGGCAGCTCCCCCTCCTCCTAGGCTGTCAGAGCCGAGACTTACGGGCCCTCGTTAAAAGTGCAGACAGCACGCTGGCACGCGGCCAGCGGCACCTGGAATCGGCAGTAAATCCTGCTGTCTGAGCGGCGCGGCGGGCGAGCGAGCAGCCAGATGAAACGAGGGGGAGGGGCAGAGAGCAGAGTGGTGTCCGTTTCCCTTCGGCTCCTACACCGGAGGGGATCATGCTTCCCTTAGCCTCTGGCTTCACCAGGTGGCCTCTTCCCTCTCGCTGGGAAGGCAGCAGAGAACCAGGCCAGCTCTGCAAGGCCGGGGAGCAGGGCAGCTGGCAGTGCAGCCTGGAGCAAAGGACTCCCCCAACACAGGCTGGACTGCAGACAGGTCTCCCACCAAATGCCACCCTGGCAGGCTCCCAAGTCATACCCATGCAACAGCTGGCCGGGGAAGGGTGCAGGAGTCCACAGGCGGGTGAGGGGGGTGGAAGGGATGTGCTTGGCTGAGGCACATGCTGCCAGACTCCTATGCAGCCTCTTTAAAAATAGATGAGAAGAAATCTCC